CGAGGCGGAGGCAGGAAGATCAGCCTGCGCAACTTGGTGATTTAGCAAGACTGTCTCAGAGTAAGAAAATATAAAAGGGCTGGGGACACAGATAGGTGAGAAGGCACTGGGTTCCATCCCTAGAACTGCAAAAAAAGTCTAATTTTTCAAAAGTTTTAGAGTTTGCTATTTACAATTATAAATGAAGCACAAATTAAACAAATAGTGGGGAAAATACAACAGACAAACACTACAAGACTATTCACACTGAAAATTTATATTTAAAAATGCTCCTTCTGCATTAGTATTATATCAAATGATTAGTGTGTTGCCCCATCAAAAATATAAAGAACTAAAATATTAGTATAAGCACTTTCAAACTATTTTCACGCTGGCTGAAACCATTATGGAAATATTTAGGTAAAGTTACTAAATTTATACAAAAATAATGAAATATTTTCAAAACAAAAGCTTTCAAGGTATGACCCATTTTCCTTTTAATTCAAAATATACTAGCAGATGAAAATGCACGAGTATTAAAAAGCATTTTTTTCTGGAAGATAGGAATATGAAGTCATTTTTTCTTCCCCTTCTGCTTTCAATTTTATTTATTTATTTGTTTGTTTGTTTATACAGGGTCTCGCTATGTAGCCAGCCTGACCTCAAACTCACAGCAATCCCCATGCCTCAGCCTCCCAAGTGCTGGGATTACAGGCATGCACCATCAAACCCAGCTTGCTTTTCAAATTTATGATTAACAGGATTAAGCTTATATATTTTTTTTCATTTGAGTCAGGGTCTCTTGCAGTTCAGGCTGGCTTGAAGTCAATATGTATCTCAGGCTGGTCCCAAATTGATGGCAATCCTCCTGCCTCAGCCTCCTGTGTACTGGAATTACAAACGTGTGCCACCATGACCACCAACAATATTACTTTTAAAGCAAAGAAGAAACAGGACTGGGGAATGCCTCACAAGTGCAAGGTCATGAGTTTGATCCCTGGTACCGCAAAAAAAAAAAAAGCAAAGAAGAAACAAATGAGCACTTTAAGGTACGTGACAGATGGCACCTAATAAACATTTAATGAATAAGACTTTTTAAACATAAACACCTTCAACTGCAGAAGCAGCCGGCCTTGTTACTGATGGGTCTCTACCCAGATAACCTTTATACTGCAGAACAGATATTTTGCTTCCTAGGGAGGCCTTCCTAACTTATTATAATTTCATATACCTTTTAATTTGGCTATTTTTCAGATGCTAATGACTTCTGTACTAACCACAACTTATGTAGGAAGAGACCTATTGTCAAATCACTACCACGTTTCATAATACTGTACTACCTTATTCTAAGCTTTCCATGTCATTTGCACAACCCAGAGTTGACAGGAAAGGTATTATTACAAATGAGATCATTAAATCAAAAGCAAGTTTGGGTTAAAATAAAAGGCAAGGTCACAAATAAGGTCTTGAAGGAGAAGTAAAGCTAGGTTTTCTAACAGTTTAGTCCTTCAGTTTCTGAAAGCTGTGTTTAGAGGACACTTAAAATACAAATCACTCCTACCCACCCACTCTTCCCCAACATTTGCTCAAACAAAACAATTAAGTAGACTTCAAAGTTAACAGGAAATAACAGAACCAAAAATAACTGGGGTGTGGTATCACCTCTGAAGGAGCTTTCTTCCAGCTGTAAACAAATGTAGACATCTCTGGCCAGACAGGCAGTTTCGGATCAGAATTTTAGTACCCAATACAATATTCCTTAACTAATCATACAGTCACACTTTATTTTCTTAAAAGAAACTTCAGCTACTTAAATCTTGGAAAACTGGGGACAAGAGGGAAGAGAAATGACACTGTCACCAAGAAGCCAATATTGCTGTGGTCAAGTTCTTATGCTAAAGTTTTTTATATGTGAAATACAGATACACATTATAAGAGCCTGAAATTGTGAATGTTTTATTTATGAACAGTCTTAACCCAATGCAAAAATGGGCATCTGAAATAAAAAGACACTTTTCAGATAAAGAATTAGAAACGGCAAATAAATATATGAAAAAATGTTCATCATCACCAGTCATTCGAGAGATGCAAATTAAAACAACACTGAGATTCCATCTCCTTCCAGAAAGAATGGCTATTTTCAAGAAATCAACCAATAACAAATGCTGGAGGAGCTGTGGGGAAAAAGGAACCCTTCTCCATTGCTGGTGGGAGTGTGGACTGGTGCAACCACTGTGGAAATCAGTGTGGAGATTCCTCAAAAAACTAAAACTAGAGGTTCTATTTGACCCAGCTATACCTCTTCTAGGTATCTTCTCAAAAGAATTAAAAGCATCGTACCACAGCAATATACAGAGGCACAGTGTGTAATAGCTAAATCTTGGAAACAGCCCAAATGCCCATCAGCTGACAAGTAAATGAAGATGTGGGGTTTTTTATACAATGGAGTACTTCTGCCATAAAGAAGGATGAGGTTCAGACATTTATAGCTAAATGAATCTTTTTTTTTTTTCCTTTGGTACCAGAGATCAAACTCAAGACCTTGTGCTTTCGAGGCAGGCAGCGGAACCACTGAGCTAAATCCCCAGCCCTATTTATACCTAAATGGATGGACCTTGAGATCACACTCCTACGTAAAATAAATCAGACACACGTGTTTAAATACTGCATTGTTTCTCTGGTATGAGAAACCGAATGTGGAAATAAGGACGGAGATGTATAATGGATGTTGGGAAACGGGAGGAAAGTGTTCAGATAGAAAAGAGAACAAGGGAGGAGGAAGGGAAAAAGGAAGGGACAAGAAAAAAAGGGAAAATAGAAGGGAAAAAACGAAAACAAAGCTTTTGTACATAGGGAGGGGAGGGTGCTTGAGGGGGAGAATGGGATAAAATAAAATAAAATTTATTTTAAAAAAAGAACAGTCTTAAAATGCATTAATTTGAAATTGTGCTAAATAACAAATTTGCATCATGCAGACACTGGGAGGGTGTTCACTTGGCTATGAGGATACTTAGCAATAATCAGCAGGTGTTTTAATTTACTTCTGTATCTAAGGGTCTGAAAGTGTCAGTTAAAAATTCCTTTTACATCCTGGTACTGGGAAAAAACAATCCCCTCTTCAGTGGGACATGGTGGCACATGCCTGTGATCCCAGCACTCAGGAGGCTGAGGCAGGAGGATTGTCTCAAGTTCAAGGTCAGCCTAGGCTACATAGTGAGTTTGTGGCCACCCTGAACTGCACAGTGAGACCCTGTCTCAAAAAAAAAATTTCCTTGGGGCTGGGGATTTACCTCAGTGGTTTCGCTGCCTGCTGCACAAGTGCAAGGACCCAAGTTTGATCCCTGGTACCAAAAAAAAAAAATTTCCTTTACATCTTATGGCATGTTATGTGGAAATTACAGGGTACCACAGTGATCAGATTTTTAGATTCTTTAAAGTCTGAGAACTACCTCTATCACTCTGATCTTATTTAACCTGACTTGATAGGCATTTCTTGTTTATCTGGCTTCCCTTCCTACTTCAGCTTAGAAGTGGAAGATTAGAAGGAAGTAAGGGGATATTTTGAAAGAACAGTACTGGAGAGATAAAGACAGACAAAATACTTAGCTGGTATAGGAGAGAGGAGTCATTTTATACAGGAGGAAACTGCCAACACCCTTACATAGCGGATGCACCGGCCATATTACACAGAACTTACTGTACATAAGGATGACCTTGATTCATCCCGAAGGGTTATGTGTAGTATATTCTGAGTATTAAAAGGGGGTTATATACTCCTGATGGTTTAGATTCTGTGAAAACTTAAAATGGCCCAAATAATTTAGCTATTAAAGCTGTCAGTTATATCAAAAATTTACTTAAATCCTTAAGTGACACCACACAAATGTTGAATAGGCAGGTCTCAAAAATATCATAATATTTACTAAGTATTATGTAATGTAGATAATTAATGTTTATGATGCCAATACTGTTCCTCTGCCTCTTGTACAAATAATAGGCCTTCCCTGTTTAAAAAAATGTATTATTGTCATCAATTTTAGTTTCCTTTCTCCTTCCAATACCAAAATGAAAGGAGGAAAAGAGTATAGTATTTTAATAATTTTCCCCAGCGTAATGCTAACCAATTCAAGAGGCCACCAACAAAACTCATCAAAGTATATTCCCTTCTTACAGTGCTTTTCAAACTGTTTGCTCATATTTAGGGTGACAAGGGTTGGGCTTAAGTCTTACACATGGACAAAAGAAGCACAAGAATTAGTGGTTATGTTTGACAGGTCTTGTTATTTTAAGGGCAGAAACAACTACCCAGAAAAACCCTACAAGATTTAAAAAGGAGGATTTTATGTTTTGTTCTTATAACAATAACAACAAAAACCTCATGGAAGTATGTACATAACTCAGAGAACATTATTCTCCAGGTCTCTGTACAGCCAAAGGGAAAATAAAAAAACTAATATCATGTCAAAAGATCTCCAAGTCCCCTTCAAACATCATAAAATGGACTTATTTGGGTCACCACACTGTTTTTTAACAGCAGTGACTTGCAATGACTTAAGAGAAAGAGGACCAAAAGATACATGGTATAAGAACCTAAAAAGGGGCCGGGGACGGGGTCAAGAAAAATCAAACCCTAAAGAAAGACAGGACTTGGAAGAGTCCAGGCAACACCTGTCGACACCCCCACAGATGGTTTCCCCAGGTAGGAGACCAGAAAAAAGAAATCGTTTCCTTTAAAAAATAATAACAAATAAGTAAATAAAAAGACCTGGGTCCTCCGTAGAGGACTCCAAGGAGCGAGGCACCTTCCCCGCCTCCAGCCAGCTACTGGTCCAGGTGCCACCGAAAATGGGGGGCCCGGAGGGTTGCTCCCCGAGGGCGGCCGCCTCGCCTCTGCCGCCCCGCCTCGTCCTCCCCGGGTAGGCGCTGCCCGGGTCCCACCTCCCGCCGCTCCCTCCTCCTCCCAGCCGTCGCCCGAGGCCCTTCCCCGCGGGTAGCGGAGGCAGACGCGGCCCGCTCGGCACCTTTGATGACGCGATCCGTGGTGGAGAGTGGGAAGCGCCGGCCGGACATGGTCCCCTCGGCCTCCTCCTGGCTCCGGGACTCCGCCGGACGTGCGCCGCCGCCTTCCTCTCCCGCCGCCTCAGCCCCGAGCGGCCGTCAGCCCGGCCTCGGCTCCGCACCGCCAGGAGGGCCGGCCTCGGACGCCACTGACAGGAGCGGACACCTGCGGCTGGGCGGGGACCTCGGCGTCGAGCGCCGCAGAGACCGCGGCCGAGGGCGGCAACTAGGAGACAGTGCAGCTCGCGGCCCGCGCCCTCGTGCGCGCCCCACCCCCGCGCCGCGCTCGCAGTCCCTTGCGCGTCCCCGCGCCGCGCTCACGGCTTCCCGGCGGCCCCCGCGCGTCCCCGCGCCGCGCTCAGGGCTCCCCAGCCGCCTCAGACCCGGTTCTCCACGCTCTGCGCACGCGCGCCTCTGGCTCCGGTCTCTGCTTCCACCGTCCATTTTCCCTTCTCCTGACTCCTTCCCTCCTCTCCGCGGGGCCCGGGCCGAGCATCCCGAACCAGCCCGGAGGTCCTGCGTGGGAGCCTTGTGGCCGGGCCGGACCCTTTCGAGGAGCGCGGTCCCCCAGACAATCCCCTGGGCCTCGCACCCCCTGTCAGCAGGAGTCGCTGTCAGCCCCTGCGCGCTCCTCCACCGTCACCCTCCCGCGCACACGCCGGAACCTTGGGACCCCGATTTATTAGCTGCGTGTTTGCAGTTAGCGTCGTGAGCAGGACCTGCGCTCCATCCTGGTGCCAGTTCGGTCCGGGGTGGGGGGCGCTTGGTTCTGAGCTTGGCCCAGAGGCCCTCGGTTCCTTTCAGCCCGCAGCGAGAGGGGAGTCGCCTGGTCCTGGGCCTCCCTGGGTCACACCTGAGTGAAAAAAGCTCAGCTTCCCCTTAGCCCTGTGTGGCACCTGTCCCGCTGGACAAAATGACACAATACCTCCCCTATCCCCAGATTATTGCGTTTTTGGTTATTTTGCGGAGCAGCGCCATGGGCACTTCTCTACCTACAGTCTTCATCTGACTCATCTCGAAGTTAAAAACTGACCTTCATTACTCCTTAAATTGTAAACCTCGAACAGATAGAATAGAAACTGTCTACTGGGCGTGGCGGCGCACGCCTGTGGTCCCAGCACTCTGGGGGCTACGGCAGAAGGATCATAAATTCCAGCTCAGCCTGGGCAATTTAGTGACTTAGCCAGATCCTGTCTCAAAATAAAAACAAAAACAAAAACTTTTTTTTTGAAGGGCTGGGATGGGCCTCAGGGTGAAGGGCCTGGGTTCAATCCCTAGTATCAGGGAGAAAAAAAATAATTGCAAGCCTAGAGTAGCACAGAAACTTTTGCGATCCAGCATTGTGGAAGGCTGAGGCAGTAGAGTCCCAAGTTTGAGGCTAGCCTGGCTGAGTTAGCAACTTAGTGAGACCCTGTCTCAAAAAATAAGAAAAAAGAAGAAGAAAGAAAGAAAAAAGAAAAAGAGGGAGAAAGAGGGAAGGTGACTAGGAAAGGAACTGGCTTGCTACAACTGTCTTCTCACTGAGTATAGTACTTGGCAAAGTCACAAGTATTTTGGTTTTAGCAATGCTAATGGAATATTGAAACTGAAATCCAAGGGAGTTTATGAAAATTGTAGGCAAACCAGACTTCACAGTTACTGCAGAGGTAAGTAGTCACCTGTGGCTATGTAAATTTAAGTTAAATTAAAATTAAATAGTTCAGCCAGGGGGCCGGGGATTTAGCTCAGTGGTGCCACCTGCCTTGCAAGCGCAAGGTCCTGAGTTCGATCCCCGGTACCAAAAAAGAAAGTTCAGCTAGTCATATATGCCTGAACTCTCAGCACTCTGGGAGGCTGAGGGAGGAGTATTGCAAGTTCAAGTCCAGCCAAAGCAAATTAGTAGCTTAAAATTTTAAAGAGAGGTGGGGATGTAGTTCATTGTGGAGGGCCTGGGTCCTATCCACAGTACTCCAATAAAAATAATATATTCTGTTCTTGCACACTAGCTACATTTCAAGAGCTAGTGCTAGCTACTTTATTGGACACCGTAGAATAAGACATTTCCATTATCACAGAAGGTTCTATTGAACAGACAGCTCATGCTAAAAGATTATGGGGGTTAAGCCCTAAATCTCCGCTAATACAGATTTATGTATTGAAAGGAAGGCCAGAGACATACACTGGAATCAGACACCGAATTATCCCCTGGAGTTTTGACCTGTCCCCAGGAGGCAGGGAACCGTAGAGAATTTTTCATGGGTCTTGGCTTCAGGCTTCTTCTACCCAAGGGAATTATTCAGATATTCTGAAGAAGTTCTTCATTTAAGAATTAATCCAACCAGTCATAATGGCACATGCCTATACAGATATACCTACCTGTTTAATGACTATTCAGACTTATGACCTTTTATTTTACAGTTCTGTGCATTTTGTTTATAGAGCCACAATGTCTTTTTTTTGGTACAGTACATCTTGTTCATACATTACTGTAATTTTTTGCTGATTGTACAATATAGCACTGTAGTTTTACATTGTTATACATTGCAGTACTGCATGTAAGAATTATGCAAATAAAAGCAAAGTCATGAAATTGGAGTTTCCTTTGACCATTTCCCTGTTCTAACTATCGTAATGTGCATAGTATAACTCCTCATTTAGTGTCAATTCATTTAACAACCCACTTGTGGGACTATGACTCAGTCCTTAAAAGAGAAGGTCTGTAATCCTAGCATACAGGAGGCTGAGGCAGGAGGACCACTGGGAGTCGGAGGCCAGCTGGGCTACACAGTGAGTTCAAGGCCAGCCTTAACTACTGAGACCCTGACTCAGGAGGGGGATAAAAGCAAAATAAAAGAATGACTGCATCCTGACCGACCTGGATTTTCGTCTCAGCACTGCCATGTACATGCTCTGTGGCCTAAACTTGATACTCAACACAGCAACTCCCTGGGAGCCGAATTTTGGGGCTCATCCCAGAGCTTCTGAATGAGAATCTGCATTCAGACAAGATTCCCAGGTGTCATGTGCACACATTGCACAGCAGCCTGTGTCCAGTGCTCTCCTGACCATCCCTCACATCCTGTGAAGAGGGCGGAAGCTTCATGGGTGGCTCAGGGAGAACACTTCCTCCAAAGGCTTTGACCTGCATGGGCTGAGACCACCAGGAGCCACCACCTACAGCCCTGCCTTGCTCCCCCATACCCCATAGGGAGGTCTCAGAGGGGTTCGGGTTGCTTGGAACTGACCCTGGCAGGGCTGGGGCCTCCAGAGGAGGACAGGTCCCTTGTTTCCATGGCCCATGGAACATCAGGCTGGAAGTGAATGGAGTCAACTCTGCAGAATCTGCCTCATAACTGATCCTTCAGTCTTTCTCCACACTGACCCCAGGGCCAGCTTTTTATGCCAAACCTGACTCTTGTCGCTGCTCCTCATTGCCTTCTGGTAGCCACTGCCCTTGACACCAAATTCAAAGCCCTTAGCCTGGCCCCAAAGCTCCTTCCCAACCTGCCTGGACCCATCTCTTCAGCCTCTTGCGCTGCACAGCCTCCCACAGACATTTGGGCCAGACAGAGGGAGCCATTTTCCATGGAGCTGTGAGGTGCCCCAAGTCCTTAAGGACAGGGTTTCAAGAGCCAGGCAGAGAGGAGGTGTCCCAGGCTGGCACCGCCTGCTGCACAGCTCCATGTGTGCCGCTTCCTGCCTGGAATCCCTTCCTTGGACCAGCCTGTTGCCGGGTGGAGGGTCCCATGGGGCTTCTCTCCAGGTTCTTAGTGTCCCAAACAAAGAATTGGACAAGACACACAGAAAAGGCAGCAAAATGGTACATTTATTGAAGGTAGAAAAGAGGTACACTCTACAGGGTGAGAGTGAGCCAGGGAAAAGTCTCCCAGCTGAGGATAAGGGGAAAAGGGACTTTTGTATCCACAATTCACAGGCTGACTTCCCCCTCACGCAGATAACGCAGTGGGACATTTGTCCTATCAAAAATTCACTCAGCCGAGCCAGGGATTTAGCTCAGTGGTTCCGCCACCTGCCTGGCAAGCGCAAGGTCCCAAGTTCGACCCCTGGTACCAAAAAAAAAAAAAATATATCACTCAGCCTGGTGCCAAACTTAAACTGCTTTATGGAAAGACTCTCTTGGATTCTTTTAATTTTTTATTTTTATTAATACATGTTTGCAGTACGTAATTATTACATTCCTTGTGGGGATCTGATACATATCTCAATTCTTCCTCCCCACCTTCCTTTTTTTTTTTTTCTTTTGGTTTTTTGAGACAAGGTCTCACTATGTAGTTCAGGCTGGCTTTGAACTCACTATGTAGCCCAGGCTTACAATAATTCTCCTGTCTCTTCTCCTTAGTCCTGGATTTACAGGGGTGTGTTACCATGCCTGGCCAGATTCCTGCAAGATATAAATGAAGGATCTGGAATAGTGTTTTTTGATTGGTTATCCCCACCTGCAAAGAAAGGATTGAAAAGATTGGTCCTTTGAACAGCACCAGATTCATATGCAAGACTGAAAATAGCACTTCTCCGAATGGTCCGCAGTGCTCAGTCTAAGCCTGACATCATTTTGGGTCCCAGCATTCTTTCTAGGAAATCTCTCGCTCGATTGCTCAGTTTCTTTCCTTCTGATTAAGGAGGAACTGTGCTCCCACTGGCAGGCTGTCCCTGGGCAGGATGAGGGGTGTCATGATGGTGGTCCTAGGTTTGGGGGCGTCCCTTGCCCTGTTGCCCTATCTCAAGCCTGACCATGAACTTAAGACTCGGCCCTTTTATATTCACTTTCTGAAGCCTTTCTTCATGCTTCCAGGTGACGGGAAAGGCTATTACCTGTGTGACCAGGGGCTCTTGTAAATAGCCAGCTGCTCGAAGTGCACAGGAAGTGCCGTTTGTCTCCCTGTGGCTGCTCCCTCACAGGACAGCTGAGCCAGAGACTGGATCCAAAGCATCCAGTCTGGTCTGTTGGTGTGGCAGGTTCTCCACGAGCGCTTGCTGATGTAATGAACGATGACAGCACCTCCTCGTCTTCCAACCTATAATGCAGTAAGTCCTGCAGACAGCTTGCCTCAAATCATGCCTTGGCAACCGGGATAGCAGAGAGGACAAGGGTGAAGGACTCATCGGATCAGCGTTATCTCAGCAAGCTGAGCTCAGCAATGCTGGATCACGGAACCTGCTAGCACAGCCAGTGGAAATGATACCTTGGACTCAACTCTGCTCTCAGGTGTTTTGTCTTTTGAGTCTTCTAGATACTTGTGTGTATGCGTATGTGTGATGTATATTTTGTGTCATCTTTGAGATTGATGAATACATTGTGAAAAACATAACATGTCCATGATTTTTAAAAATTAAATACTCCAAAATTAAATTCACACTCTATCCCCTGATTCTGAACCAACCTCCCATTACTTTCTTATAGGCATTACTATTGTTAATATGTGAATACATTTAAATACATATGTATATATAAATGCATATACATATTTCTGCAGACATTATATGAATGTGTTTGTATATAAATATTCATGGGTGTAAATGAATATTCACTAGCTTTTATCACATTTATGGTAACAGAAGGACCAGATCAGCCATGCATAGGGTGCGGTGGCACATGGCTGTAATCCCAGCACTTGGGAAGCTGAAGCAGGAGGATTGGGCTACATTGTGAGTTCAAAGCTGGCCTGGACCACATAGTAAGATGTTGTAGCAACAAACAAACATAGAACAAGTCATGATGCTTAGGTTTCAGTAAATAGGTTAGTAAGTTGTACAATCAATTGATGTGGTGAGTATCAATGTGATTTTGTTTGTTTTGTCGTAATGAAAAAGAATGGAAGTGATCAGAGTGGATCTCACATAGATTAAGTATTGTTTTTAAAAAAAACTTGTTTCTGTTTTTATTAAATTATTTTTATTTTTTTATTTTTGCTTAAATTCTTTGGTACATTTTAGGTATACAATATGCTTACTTTTATCATTGGGTGCTTGTACCTGTACATGATGTATCTTGGTTCTTATTTTTTCCCCATTACCTGTGTGCCCTTCACTCTTGTTTCCATTTTTAAAATCAAGCTTATACCAGGACCTCATCTTTTTTTTTTTGGTACCGGGGATCGAACTCGGGTCCTTGCGCTCGTGCAGCAGGCGCCAGAACCACTGAGCTAAATCCCTGGCCCAGGACCTCATCTTATTAAAAAGCTTTTGGGCTGCGGATTTAGCTCAGTGGTTCTGGCACCTGCCTCGCAAGTGCAAGGTCCCGACTTTGATCCCCTGTACCAAAAAAAAGCTTTTGCACAGCAAGAGAAACCACCAACAGAGTGAAGAGAAAACCCACAGTGTGGGAAAATTTTTTACCAGCTGTTCAGATAAAGGACTATTATCTAGAACCTATAAAGAACTCAAAAAAATCAGAGCCCCCCCCCAATATAAAGACCCAATCCAAAAATGGGCATCTGAAATAAAAAGACGCTTCTCAGATGAAGAATTAGAAACAGTAAATAAATATATGAAAAAATGTTCAACATCACTGGTCATTTGAGAGATGAAAATTAAAACAACACTGAGATGCCATCTCACTCCAGAAAGAATGGCTGCTATCATGAAATCAACCAATAAAAAATGCTGGCGGGGCTGTGGGGAAAATAAAACCCTTCTCTACTGTTGGTGGGAGTGTAGACTTGTGAAACCACTGTGGAAATCAGTGTGGAGATTCATCAAAAAACTAAAACTAGAGGTTTTATTTGACCCAGCTATACCTCTTCTAGGTATCCGAAAGAATTAAGTGTCATATCACAGCAATACATGCACACCCATGTTTATAGAGGCACAGTGTGTAATAGTTAAATCTTGGAAACAGCCCAAATGCCCATCAACTGACGAGTGGATAAAGAAGATGAGGGTTTTTTTATTCAATGGAGTACTACTCTGCCATAAAGAAGGATGAGCTTCAGGCATTTATAGCTAAATGGATGGACCTTGAGACCACACTCCTAAGTAAAATAAATCAGACACAGGGGTTTCAATACTGCATTGTTTCTCTGGTGTGAGAAACTGAAAGTGGAAATAAGGACTGAGATGTATAATGGATGATGGGAAATGGGAAGCAAGTGTTCAAATGAGAAGGGGAACAGAGGAGGAGGGAGGGAGAAAGGAAGGAAGGGACAAGAAAAAAAGTGACGATAGAAGGAAAAAATAGAAACAAAGCTTTTGTACATAGGGAGGGGAGGGGGATTCGGGGGGGAATGGGATAAAATAAAATTTATTTAAAAAAGAAAACTAGGGCCAGGGATTTAGCTCAGTGGTGCCACCACCTGCTTCACAAGGACCCTGTACCAAAACAAACAAAAAACAAAAACCCTGCAACAGATATTTTCTTTTAAACATCTGTCTATATGTATGTGAATGCAGATGAGCAATGTAAAATTCACTCCATTTATACTAAAATTTATGAAAATCTAAAAAGAAAATCAAGCTTACAGAGGTATAATTCGCATGTAGTGATGCGAGGGTGGAGGTCTAGGTCGCTTAGCGGGAGACGGGCCAGGTTTCCTGACAGCCTGACTTCAGCGCGGAGGGAAACAGGACAGGGCTCTCCAGGCTCCGTCCGCAGCCTGGGGCCCGCAGTGTTTCCCTCACGTGACCAGGCCCTGCGGTGGGCGGTGCCTCTCTCGCTGGAGCCTGAGAGGATTATGAAAACTGGGCAGGCGGAGCGCGGCCAGGGGACCTGAGGGGAAATGTGCAGTGGAGGACAAGCAGGTGAGGCCAGGTTGGCAGGAGGTGTGGAAAGGCTCCTGGCGCTGCAGTGAGCCCTGCGAAGACTTGAGCCCTGAGCAACGTGTGTTTTGGGACCAGTGCTGGATGGTGATCCAGACAGACTGAGGCTGGGCGAGCTAAAAGAGAAAAAAAGCCAGGCGTGGTGGTGCACGCTTCTAACCCCAGCAATGGGGAGGCTGAGGCAGAAGGATTGCCACAGTTTGAGGCCAGCCTGGACTACATCGTGAGTTCAAGGCCAGAACTACATAACAAGAAAGCAAGACGAAAGATTTCGCCCTTGTGAAGAAGGGGTTACATGAGGCCTGGCATAGTGGCTAAGGCCTATAATCCCAGCTGCTTGGGAGGCTAGCACAGGAGAATCCCTATTTCAAAGCCAGCCTGAGCAATTTAGCAAGACTCAAAATAAAACAATAAAAAGGGCTGTGGGTATAGTTCAGTTCTCCCTGGTTTTAATCCCCATATCCCCAAATATGAGAGGTTACATGAAATACATAAAAGAAATATATTGAAATGAATTGCAGAATTCATCCTACTTGGGTAATTGTGGGAATCCTAGCCCTCCTCGAGGCCGGTAGACCTCCTCCCTTCAAGTGTGCATTTCTCAGAGCCAAACCAACTCACTGGGGCTGGGCTGGGCCTCACTGGAAGAGTGCTTGCCTTGCACTCATGAGGCCCTGGGCTTGATCCCCAGCAATCCCAAGAAACAAAAATAAAAACTGGGCGTGGTGACCCACACCTGTAATCCCAGCCCTCAGGAGGCTGAAGCAGAAGGATCACCGTGAGTTCAAGATCAGCCTGAACTGCATAGTGAGACCCTATCCCCCCCCCCCCCAAAAGCCAACTCAGTGAACTCAGGTAAGAACTTCTTAAGCACAAAGTAATAAAAGGAGTCTGAGGATGTAGCTCTGTAGTAAGGCACTTGCCTAGCATGTGCAAAGCCCTAGGCTCCACACCCAGCACCATAAACATTAAAATAAAAATAATAATAACAGAAAATGATGGGGGCGGGTATTTAGCTCAGTGGTTTCACCGCCTGCTGCGCAAGCGCAAGGACCCAAGTTCAATCCCCAGTACCAAAAAAAAAACAAAAACAGAAAATGAGCTGGGCATGGTGGTACACATCTGTAATCCCAGCACTCTGGGAGGCTGAGGCAGGAGGGACCACAACTTTGAGCCCAGCCTGGGCAATTTAGCGAGATTCTGTCTCAAAATAAAATAAAATGAAACAAAATGAAATGAAAAAGGGCTGAGGATGTAGGTCAGTGCAAAGCCCCTGAATTCAATCCCCAGTACCACAACAAAACAAAGCAAATTTCCTGTGTTCGTCAGAATTGACATAAATAATTGAAATTACCAACATTCATGTTTAACTGGTTTGTCCACTAATTGTTTCAGATCTGGTTTCCATCACACAGGGCTGTGAGAGTTGGTGTATTCCCTGTGAAACTCCCCAAGCACTTAATAAATCTTGATTAATGAGCAGCTAGCTCCTCTGAGAAATAATGAACGCTTTTAATTTAACAAAAGTCGAGGGAATCTTGTTTGCACTGTTGCATAAAAGTAACCTGGCTTCGGTTTCTATTTATATGAAGCCATTAAATATTAAACTTCTGGGTTAAATGCAGGCAAGAGAACTGGAGACTATTTTTAAACTAGAGTAAAATAAGGATTTCTAAACTGGGCACCGTTGTCCCTCCCTGTTATCTCAGCTCTTGGGGAGGCTGGGGCAGATCACAAGTTTGAACCCAGCCTTGGCAACTTAGTGAGACCTTGTTTCAAATCAAAAAATAAAGGGCTGGGTTTCAGCTCAGTGTGAAGGCCCTGGATTCTATCCTCAGGATAGGGGTATAAGGTCAGGGGCAGGAGAAAGATTTCTAAAATAGCTGCACAGAACAAAAGGTATTTTGTAGTGCATACTGTCCAATTTTATATACAAGGTACTACATAAACTTTTTTTTAACAGTACTGGGGATTAAATTTAGGATCTCCACACTGAACTACATTTCAGTCCTTTGTTTTTTATTTTGAGACAGGTCTTGCTAAACTGCTAAATTGCCTGGGTTGGAGTCTTCCTGCCTCAGCCTCCCAGAGTGCTGGGATTACAGGTGTGCACCACTATTCCTGGCTTACATATTTTTTTTAGTAACATATATTGTATGGACATCATATACTATATCTTATTCATGCCTTCTACAAGTACAATTAAGATTCTTTTTTATTGTTGTTTTTGAGATATGGTCCTGCTATGTAGTTTGGGCTGGCCTTGAACTCACTGTGTAGCCCAAACTGGCCTCAAACTCATAGCTATCATCCTGCCTCAGCCTCCTGAGTGCTGAGTTTACAGGTGTGCATGACCATGCCCAGCTTTAGTTTTTTTGTTGTTTTTTGGGGGTTTTTTTGGTACCAGGGATTGAACTTGGGACTTTGTGCTTGCAAAGCAGGAGGTGGAACCACTGAGCTAAATCCCCAGCCCCCAGCTTTAGTTTTGATTAATTACCTTGGCATGGATATCCCATCTTGATGTAAAATAATTATCAAGTTCAGATAAGAATATGTATTTATATATTGTAATTAGAAAAAGATGGCCCTAGAACTGGAGCTTGGTGCTAGAAAGCTTGTGTGAAGTTCTGGGTTCAGTCCCCAGCATGGCAAAAACAAGTAAACAAAAAACATGGCCTAGGGCTGGGGATTTAGCTCAGTGGTTCCACTCCCTGCCTCGAAAGCACAACGACCCGAGTTCGATCCCTGGTACCAAAAAAACAAAACCAAAAAAACATGGCCTAAAGCAACACCCTACCTGATTTCAAGTGAAGAATCTTTTTTATGTGCTTGTTAGAAACAAAACAAAACAAAACAAACCACCAATGAAAGTTCAGCTGACTGGTGATGCATATTTACAGGCTGACATTCAGGCCATCTTTTGCAGGTAGAATACAGACCCCTCAGTGGTGTGTGATCCTGGGTCATTCAGGAGAGAATTGGAGTAAGGATAGGATTCTGGCTTTGTCTGCCACCATCCCCTTGTTTACATCATCACAAAGCAAGCAGGAGAAAATAGTGGCAGTCACGAGATAATACAATACTGTCGGGAATAGAAATTTTTGTTTTTCTTTTGAGACAGGGTCTTCCTTTGTAGTTCAGTCTAGCCTTGAACTTCTGGCGATCCTCCTGCTTCAGCCTTCCAAGTGCTGGGATTACAGGAATGGACCACCACGCCTGTGTTGGAATAGAATTTTTTCACCAAGATGCATAGGCCAAAACCAGAATCAAGGACCCCTTTCCTTCCCACACTGTACGGTATCTTGTCAACCTGCTCCCCCTACTGTCTGTTTTCTGTATAGCAGGTCCTTCTAAAAGCAAAAAAGCATAAAGCTGCTTAAAATTCTCAAATGCCTTCCCCTTTCCAGACATGTGACTCTGTCTCCTCTGAGCTCTGAGCCCTTCCCCCAGCACATGGGACAGCCTGGGCTTATTTATGCTGAGCACACTGATTTACACACTGACCTCAAACACAGCTCTTGAATCTGCTGACCCTTGGGCTTGAACGTTCTTCTAGATTGTTGCAGGGCTGAGGCTCAACTTGAATATTGTCTGCTCAGGCCATTCCTGAACCCCTGCAGCTAAAGACACCAGTCCACTGGTCCTCTCCCTCCTTACCCTATGGGGATCATTCTGTGAGACTTGTTTCTGTTTGCCTTGGCTCCTTTTTTTTTTTTTTTTTTTCGACAAAATGCAGATTTAAAAAATCAAAATCAAAACCTTTGGAGCCTGTGCTCAGGTTTGGGTTTTTTTTTTGGTACCAGGGATCGAACTCAGGTCCTTGGGCTTCCGAAGCAGGCGGTGAAACCACTGAGCTAAATCCCCGGCCCTGCCTTGGCTCCTGAACAGGAGGCCTTTGTCCACCCTTCTTGTCCCTTGCCATGCCACACTGTGCCTGGCACCAAATGGGAACCCATCATTTTGTTGGATGAATGAATATCATCTTGTCCTTATCTAGACTGGGTATTGTTAATTTGAGGCACAGCATTTTCAAGAGATCACTTTCTCCTCTCTCTATTCTGCTCAAACCAGTAAATGAAATGAAGGTTTCCGAGTATATGGTTATGTGCTCTGGGACATGGGAAATGTTTTCAGATTCTCAAAAGAATCCACACAACGAAATGTTAATTACTACTAGTACACAGTTTTAATAAAGCACTTTCTCACATATTTAGTTCTTATTACACATAGAGATAGGTAATGTAAAACTTATAATTCCCACTTCATATATAAAGATGTGGAGGTGCAGGCAGGTTAAACATATTATTAAAGATTACACAGATAATCAGTAAAGGTCTCACTATGTAGTTCAGGCTGGCCTTGATCTCACTATGTAGCCCAGGCTGGCATTGAACTCATGGCAATCCTGTCTCCTGAGTGTTGAGATTACAGATGCGCACCACCACACCCAACCATAAATCCACTCTTTCGGATTCAAAATTCTGAACTCTTTCTGCTGATGACATGGAAGAATCCAGAACTCTGGGGAAGGTTTGCATTGGTCTTTGCCTATCTTGATTTGTTCAACAGTCAACAAACGTAAACACTTTTCTGAGGACTTTCTCATTTAAGGTAGCTTATAAGCATCTGCTAGGTGTCAGGGTTTGGGGTTGTGTGTGTTTGTGTGGTGCTGAGCAAGTGCTCTACCACTGAGCTACACACCCAGCCCCAAATTAAAATTTTCAGTATAAACATACTACCCATATCTAGGTCAAGATAGTCTATCAATACTTGTCAGCCTGCTTTTTAATTAAATGTTAATATACAAATTAAGGAAAACAAAATAATTTTCTACTTGGCTAAGTAGAGCATACAAGCAAGTACAAAAATAGGAATGAAGGGCCGGGTATTTAGCTCAGTGGTTCCAGCGCCTGCCTCGCAAGCGCAAGATCCTGAGTTCGTTTCCCCAGTACCAAACAAAACAAAAATAGGAATGAATATACCTTAAAGCCAAACGAAGATGTTGGGGAATCTGTTTAGAGTTTTCTTGCCTTTCCAGTTAGAATATGTAGTTACAACATCAATGTGGAAAAGTCAGTATCTCATTTTTTCAAAAATGAGCTTTTCTGGGAAAGGAAAATCTAACTCTCAACTCTTTCTGGCTCACTTTCAAGAAGTGGTTCGAACGCTACGGCATTATCTGGCGTTAAATTACTATGAGCTGTGTGAGTGGCGGTATCTCTTCCTAAAGGTCAGGTCTACAAGACACAGCAAACAGCTTCAAAAGCGCTTGTTTTGTTAACCTCAAGAAGTTATAGGGAACAGGGCACTTGAAAGACTCTCCCACTCTAGGAAGATCCTCAAGATCAAAAAGATTTCTTCTTCCCTGGATCCCTAAAGACCAACTTCATTTTAGCAGAACAGCATTCCCTTTTTTCGCTCAACTGTTTTTCTTAAAACCCACAAGGTTGGCACCATGCTTTCAGGATTCTCTAATTAACTAGCTTGGGTGTTAGAGGTCGAGCCATTTAAAATGTTAGCCCAATGCAGGAAGACAAATATTCAGAGAGCATTTCACTCAGAATTACTTCATCAAAAGTTATCTTGTTAGGGGCCTCCACGAAGAAACCAATGGATAGCTTCACGTTACCTGTTGTGAAAACTTGGTTTGGTTTGGTTCAGACGGGTTGTCACTGTGTAGGTTAAGCTGGTCTTGAACCGTGTAGGCCCAGGCTGGCCTTGAACTTGCAGTGTCTCCCTGCCTCAGCCTGAGTGCTGGGATTCAGGTGTGCACCACACCCAGTGGAAACCTGTTTTGTCTTTTGTTTTTGTGGTACTGGGATCAACTCTATAGCCTTAGACATACTAGGCCACTTCCCTGAGCTAGGCCTCCAGCCTTTTTCTGAGATGGGGTTTTGCTAAGTTGCCAGGCTAGCCTTGAACCTGTGATTTTTCTGCTGGGATTACAGGCATGCACACCCATGCATGGAAACTTTTTTTTTTTTTTGAAAGATCTATAAGAAAACCACAGACATAGAAAACAAAAACAAACAAAACATCCAGAGCTTAGTGGAAAAAAGACCTGTTTCTTGGCTTACGATTGCCAGGGTTTGAGCACTTCTGGGTTATCCCTTAACTATAATTGATGCTACCAGTTTGGAATCCCACCTGCTACAAGGGTCAAAGATTGCTGTCATACAGGAAGGACAATCTGTCAACTCCCTTCCTTCCTTCATTTAAAATAAACCCTGAATAAACATCTGACAAGAAGCTATGATGTTGGAAGGAAAGACGCTCTTAACATGAAGGCTGAAGGCTGAAGGCTGATGAGAACCTTGGGCTCTTTCCCAACCTACTTTCCCCCTCTACTATAAAAATGTCATCGAGCCAGGGATTTAGCTCAGGGTCGCTGCGCCTGCCTCCCAAGCTCAAAGTCCTGAGTTTGATCCGGTACCACACACACACACACACACACACAAACTAAAAGAGCCATGCACCATGACTAAAATATACTTGTTTTAAAGTTTTTTTGGTTTTTCTTTTGTACTGGGGATCGAACTTGGGTCCTCGCACTTGCGAGGCAGGTGGCGGAACCAGAGCTAAATCCCCGGCCCCTTAGAATATACTTGTTTATTCTAGGAGCAGAGGGGTACACTTCTATGAGGATTCGAACTTTTGCTCTTCAGCAGGCTAGCATTTCCTACTGAATTCTGAGGAGCACAAACTCTTCAGATATGTAGGCATTTTGTTTTTCCCTAAGTCAAAAGCTTTGTGTCTATATATAGTCTGTTATGTCTCAGAATGCATTTTGTCCAAATCAGATTTAAGCATCACCAAATGGTAGTGTACAGAAGCAATGGTTCAGAAGAAGGGAACTAGTTTGTAACACCTTTCAAATTTTAGTGTTTCACCTCCCACCAAAAATATCCTCAATGGCTTAGCTGGTTAAGAGTATTCCAAAGCGAAGGCTGAGGTCAAGGTTTTCATCTTCGCAATGGCCTGTTTACTTCTATTCCATGAGGGCCTCAAATTCACCTCTTTGAACTTTATGTTTTGTCTTTTTTTTTTTTTTTGGTACCGGGGATTGAACTTAGGACCTTGAGCTTGCAAGGCAGGCGCGGCACCACTGAGCTAAATCCCTGGCCCTGAAATTTACGTTTCTAAATAAAAGTGGACCAGGTCAAGAAAACAAACAAAATCCTCACCATGACAAGAAAGCTCACAAGCCCAGAAAGCGGGCCTTTCATTAGGCCTTTTCATTCATTCTTTCTGCTTAGCAGGTGCTGAGCATACTTTTTAAAGCAAGGCAACATCGCCACCCTGTGTTAAATAATCTTCATTACATCCACAATGTTATTGCTAAAAGGATCACACAAGCGGATTCTCAATAATTACAGAATATAGCTTTATTTATAGAACCTTACAAATAAAACATTTACAGTCCACATAAGTTATCTTCTTTTCTAATTCTTCTTATAACACCTGAGTTATTTAAAATAATACTGTGATGGAACTGCAGAACTGTAAAGGGAAATATGAAAAACAAACCTCTCTCTATTGCAAAAATCAGATTTTTTTCTAATAAAGCAGATTTCCAGCACACTATCATCTCTTTGGAAAAGAACTTACTAAAAATAGATCTTAGGCTACCCAGAGATTTTTTTTGGTACCAGGGATTGAACTCCGGACCTTGCACTTTCGAGGCAGGCGGTGGAACCAGAGCTAAATCCCCGGCCCCTAGAGATTTTATTTTTTGGTAGTACTGGGGATCAAATCCAGGGGTGCTCTATCACTGAGTTGTATCCCCAGTGCCTTTTATGTTTTAAGACAAGAGTCTTGCTAAGTTGCCCAGTCCGGGCTTGAACTTGCAATCCTCCTGACTCAGCATCCCAAGCTGCTGGGATTACAGGTGTCCACCACCGCCCCTAGCTTAGAAGTCTTTTTGAAACTCAGAGTGAAGGACCATTGCAGAATGGCCCCCAGCTGACACTAGACACAGAACACCTTTGGAGGCAAGGACAAAGAGCAAGGCGAGAAGCAGCAGAACCCTGTCCCTGGCTTCCAGCTCCTGTGTGTGACACTTCCTTGCTGACGTGAATAGGAGCTGGTCTGTCTGGAGAGAGGCTGAAGAAGCTACTCAGGGGAGAAAAGCCCTCTGAACTCACTACCCTGGAGATTTCTAATATGTACAAATGCTTAAAACAGCAAATTCAACTCTTAAACGTCAAAAAGAAATCATGTTGTCAGCTCAGGAGTCGAGTCTTGCCAATGGCAACAGACCCCTCCCTCCTAAGATCCAAAGGGGGCTGAACCTGCACCAATGCCTTTGAAGAGGATTAGTTCATATCTGATTTTCATTTTATTCAAGATTAGGTCTCTAAGCTCCTCTCTTAACCTTAGAAACTCATGAACTCTAAGTCAGTATTCTACCCCAGAAAAAGGATTTTTTTGTTTTGTTTTGTTTCTCAGTAGTACTGAGGATTGAACCCAAAGCCTTCACACTGAGCTATATCCCCAGCCCTTTTTATTTATTTTTATTGTGAGACAGGACTCACTAAGTTGCCCAGGCTGGGCTCACACTTGTGATCTTCCTGCCTCAGCCTCCCAGAGTGCTGGAATTACAGTTGTGCGCCATCACGCCCAGTGACAAAGAATATTTTGTAAGGAATGATAGGATCTATACAGGGAATGCTAAAATTAAAAATTTAATACATTAATATGAGTGAAATAAGACAAAATCTTTCAGAGTCTTAATTTTTCTTTCTTTCTCGCTTTTTTGTGTTTTTGCAGTGCTGAAGAGGGAAGCCAGGGCCCTGCACATGCAAGGCAAGCACTCTACCACTGAGCTACACCCACCTGAATCAAAAATTGTGTCATTTTCTCCTAGCTACTGAAAGCACTTTGAGAATTATAAAACAGAAAAGACAAAGAAGCACTCTTAAAACAATATCAACAGATACGATGCTAAAATAAAGTTATATTCCAACATCCAAGGAACTGGTTCTTTGGTAAAACTGGACCCTAACCCTACCAGGAGTTGGTCCTGACATTCGATCTAGAATCCCGACGGCTGAAGTTCCTCCTCCTTCAGCCTGTTCTTAAGTCCAGCCAAGTCATAAGCAAGATCAGGGGGAAGCTGAGCAGCTTGTGCTCTTTTCAGGAAGATTCCTGGTTTGAGGGCTGTTTCCCAAGAAAAAACAAAATAGATGCTGCTTGGAATCACTGAGAGTGGACAGTTTTTCTGCCTAAGAACAGAAAACCTCAGGCATTGGCGATAAACCTGTGCTCTTGTCTGTCCTGCAGACAAACACGGCCCCCGGGCTGTGACTGTGGGCAGCACTAAGGCTTCTGGGGAGACTGGCTCCCTAGAGTGGCTAAAGAGTCTTGCATTATCAATATGATAATAGTAAAGCAATTCACCTAGTGAACCTGGAGATCAGCTCCCCTTGAAGCCAGAGTTCTGAGGCAGGAGCTCCACAGCGCCCTCGGCTGGCCTGTAGTGTTAGGGACAAGCACACCATCCACTTTCTGGAGAGGATTAGAACAATTCATACCAGGACGTGTCATCCAGAGCGGCGCTAAACCCCACATGCAGCAACAACGTCTGCAGCACCCCAAGGCCAAGTCGTGAGTTTCTGACCTCACAGTCTAGAGCCCTCTAGTATTCACACTCGTGTTTATGTAATTAGCAGGTCCTCCACTTGGCCAGCACTGATGCCTTTACTGATTTCCCTTGGTCACCATGGTAAAGCATTAACAACCGCACTTTTACTCTGCAAGTAAGCTTGCCAGTCTGCAGGAGAAGTCTTGATTGGGGCAGTGAATCTGTGCAGTCTCCCCTCTAATACAAACATTTTCTTGTTATTGTTTTTGTTTTTTGAGACAGAGTCTCACTATCTAGTTCAGGCTGGCCTTGAACTCATTATGTAGCCTGGACTGACCTCTAATTCACAGCAACCTGCCTGCCTCAGCCTTAGCAGTACTGGGATTACAGGTGTGTGCCACCATGCTTGCCACATAAACATCTGAAATGTGCTCAAAATGTGCTTCTAGAGAGGCAGCTAAAGTCTCTTAGAAGAAGAGAGCTGGGAATCAGCAAAACCATTTCTTTTCTTGCAGAGCTCCTACCCCTCCCACTTAGTGTTAACATGACAGAGGAGGTGGCCTGGGCAGCTGACCCCTACACTGGCTCAGCCAGACAACCAGGAGACAGCAGGGTTGGACAAGAGCAACATCCAGCATCCCGGTGGGACCAAGTGAGCACCCTGACAGGTCCCACGTGATTGGTTCTACGTCCTGTCACTCAGGATGGTCCCTGCCTCTTGCCCTATTCACCTGCTATGAGTTTTAGTTCTCTGAGAATATTAATAGGAACTGAACAGATTCTGAAAGATTGGTGGGATGGATGCCTGTGCTCTGCCCTTTCTTTGGAATAGGAGAATCAAATCAAAAGGGGCACCTTGAGGTCCAGGATGCAATTTCAATTCAGGGGCCCCCAAGGATGAATTCACCTGCAGATGTTTCTACCCAGGCTCTGACAGCTGCCTCTATTTTTACACTGCAAGGTCAAAGATGCCAAATCTCACAGTGTTGCTTCCAAGAGAGATCAGAGTAACCAGAGAGGAAAGGGAGAGGCTTGTCCTGTGTGCGACATTCAGGTTCCAGCGTGCCCATGAGGAAGGGGGAAGGAAAGGGGCGAGGCACTACCTAGAGAGTGGCTACTGGACGGCTTGCTTTCTAGGACACAGTGACATCTTGAAACATCTGACATCTGAATGCAGGCAGATGGTCTGAGGCAGTTTTTACAGAGCTGCCTCTTCTGTGTGCCACACAGAGGGTGAGTCCTCAGGCAGGGAAAGCAGCCTGGGGCCTGACTTGTGATGTCAGGGGCCCCACAGGGCCCTACCCGATCTGGATCTGCCCCGAGTACATGGTGAGGAGCAGCATGATGGTGAAGCCAGTCAGGAGGCCCAGGTTCTGGATGACGAAGGACACTAGGATGGTGCCTTTCCTTTCGTCCTCCTGGCAGACCTCGTTCATCTCAGGGAACTGAGGAGGAAGAGAAAAGCAAGAGCTGAGGCTCCTTCTAAAACTTGGAAGCCAGGCACTTTGGCGAGCACACAATACTGCCAATCAGTCAATGGAGAAAAGGAGCAGTCACAGAAGCTGGAACTTGAGTACAACACTGTTCTCCCAGGCAGCTACCTCGACTTGATAACTATACCAGTCGAACAAAGTACTGGGCACCCTGAGGCACTGGATGTGTTCAATGTGGACTAAACTCTAAAAACACTTGGAGAGATCTTTTTACTACCAAGATATTGTTGCTGTCTGTTTGGGAAACTAAGCAACTGTGTCTAGGGACTAAGAATGGAGACACAAAGTAGCTGTGATTCAAAGCCTTGTGCTGCTGGGCCAGTGAGGCAAATGACCACTCAGATCATCAAGCGATGCTGAAGACATGTTCTAACCATGAGGCAGGCTCCTGTCAGAGGAGGGAATCTAAAATGTTTCCCTGGAGGAGGCTGTGTGGAGGCCCAGTGCTCTAAGCAACTCATCAAAAATATTATTTCCGGGCCAGGGATTTAGCTCAGTGGTTCTGCCGCCTGCCTCGAAAACACAAGGTCCCGAGTTTGATTCCTGGTACCAAAAAGAAAAAAAAGAATTGTAAACATTACGTATGGGCTGGGGATTTAGCTCAGTGGTTTCCCTGCCTGCTGCGCAAGTGCAAGGACCCGAGTTCCATCCCTGGTACCAAAAAAAAAAAAGTTATTTCCACAGCCAAGTGTGGAGGTGCACATCTGTAACCCGAGCACTTGGGAGCATGAGGCAGAGGAGGATCACTGCAAGCTCAACCCCAGCCTAGGCTACACAACAAGATCCTAACTCAAAAAGCCAAAGCCAAAATCAAGAACCACCCCCTAAAACCAACCCTTCAAAAAAAGTTATTTCTAAGGATATGTAGAACTGAAAAATATATATAGCAAAGCATTTTCTGTATATAGTATAGAGGGGATATATGTTTTATTTTTTTGAGGCAAGGTCTTGCCATGTAGTTCAGGCTGGCCTTGAACTCACTATGTAGCCCAGGCTGCCCTCAAACTCATGGCGATCCTCCTGCCTCAGCCTCCTGAGTGCTGGGATTACAGGAATGGGCACCAGGCCCAGTTATATATGAAGATATACTGTATAACGAAAAATAATTCAAACAGGCCAAAGACCACATCATGGCAACAAATAAGGAAAGGAGTCAACCTTCTTAGTTATACAAAAGGTCCAACCAGATAGATAGGTTGAGAATTCAAAATCCTTAGATGGTTCATATCCATGGTAGGGACACAGGGTAGGATACAGTTTCAGATTCTGCTGTTAACAGAAGATTAAGCTCTTCTGAAAAGCTATCAAAGGCCTAAAGCCAGAACCAGATGTATGGCACACGCCTGTAATCCTAGCACTAAAGAGGCTGAGGCAGGAGGATCATGAGTTTATGGCTGGCTTGGTTACATAATAAGATCCGATCCCCCAAAAAAAGGAAAAGGAGAAAAAAAAGGAAAAGCCTAAAACCAGCAATTCTAGTTCTGAAACTAAGGTATATCTATAATGTCTTATCAATTAGTAGTATCACGGAAAAGGATATTTGCAAAAAGTATGCAACATGGAAAAATATATATTATTTAAAAAGAAATCAGAACATAAAATTCCATATTCAGTGTGATTATCATTATTTAAAAACAGACACAATTCTCCGAGACGAAAGAGAAACAAATTAATGTGCTGTTATTGTTATTTTGGGGCAGAAAAATGATGAGTAATTTTCTTTCCTTCTCTCCCTCATATTTTCCTTCCCTCTTTTTATTCATCTCCGTATACCTGTTCTACCATATTTAAGTACGGACCCTAGATCAGATAGCATCATTTTCTTTAATGACATGCAAACAGAAACAAATTTTTGTCTTTTAAAATCTGACATCCTGGCCAGGCATGCTGGTGTGTACTTGCAATCCCAGCTACTAAGATGCTGAGGCAAGAGGATCAGTCCAGGCTAGTGTGGGCAACTTAGCAAGACCCTGTCTCAAAACAACAAACAAATGAACCTACAAACCAAACCCCAAAACAAATACCTCCTTAAGAACCCTTAAACAGTGCGTCTGAAATAGGTAAAATGTGAGATATGCAAAAGATACTTCAATAAAAATGTTATTGGGCTGGGGATTTAGCTCAGTGGGACCTCACCTACCTAACAAGTGCAAGGTCCTGAGTTTGATCCCCGGTACCAGAAAAAAATAAAAAATAAAAATAATAAAGATGTTTTTAAAACCAAATTAACTGAGCCAGGGATTTAGCTCAGTGGTTCTGCTGCCTGCCTTGCAAGCGCAAGGACCTCAGTTCGATACCTGGTACCAAAAAAAACAACAACAACAAATTATCTGCTGTATGCAGTGGCACATGCCTGTGATCCCATCATTGAGGGAGGCTGAGGCAGGAAGATTCCAAGTTCAAGCCCAGCCTGGGCAACTCAGGGACTTAGCGAGGGCTTGCCTCAAAATAAAAAAGAGAGAACAAACAAACAAAATTAAAAAACCAATGTCCTCTTAGTTATCCTGTCCGTGAATTTAGTAATCCACCCAGTTTGGCCTACGCGGCATAAACGTTAGCAGACTTACCATATCAGCTAGAGCAATATACAGGAACATTCCTCCAGCCAGAGCAAAAATCCAGTTGGCGGAGAAGTGGCTGCCTGCCAGGATGCCAAAGGCCAGGCCTACGTAGCAGCAGCAGGCAGAGAGGAAGTTGAAGAAGAGGGCCTGCTGGATACTCATGCCGGCGTTGAGCAGGATGACGAAGTCGCCTAGAGGGACACGGAGGGGAAGGATGTTGGGTCAGAAGACAGACTGCTTATGCCGTGGAAAATAGCAAGATGCCCCAGACTCAAGACTGACAGGACAACACCAGGGTCCCTTCTTCAGTTTCCTCTTTAGGCACTGTGTCCATCTGCCATGCTGGCTGCTTCCTCACAGCCTACAGACAAAATAAGTTACGAGATTCTGAAGGAAGATGACCAAATAGCAGTGGCCTATCTTTTCCTGTCTGATAGTGAACTAAAAGGAGCTCCTTGCTTGCGACTGCAATAAAAGATACTTTCAGGAGATGAAACTGAGAGAAAGAAAAGTTAGGAAATTTGCCCAAAGTTACAAGCCAAAATATGGCAAGCATAAGATTTAATCTTGAGTGGCCTGTGAGCCTCCAGCGTCCTGGCTTTTTACACTCCTAAGCCCTGGCTCAGCTACTTCATCCTCATCCACCTGCCAGACTTCGAGCATCCATCCCAGCTTTGGAAGATTAGCAGGCTTCATGTCACCGCCTGTACTGAGCACTTGGCAAGTGATTAAGTCCTCTTCAGCCCTGGTTCTCCCTTAACCACAGGACAATGGGTGGGCCGGGCCATGTGGACGTCTCGGGGCTGCACGCTTACCCAGCTCGTGTGGGAACTCCTCACAAAGGATGGCCACCGAGGTGCTGATGCCTTGGAAAACAGACACGGTGAAGGAGGCACCGATGGCCAGGCCATCGATGAAGTTATGCAGGCCATCGCTCAGCGTGATCATCCAGGCCAAGGTGCCGATATCAGAGTAGCGCACACCTTTCAGCCAGTAGCAGGTGCTCTGCGAAGCCTGCAGGTCCTGTGAGAAAGTATGCAGAGGGCACAGGGTGGACCGTATGCCTTTCAAGGTGGCCCAGGCTCCCCAGGCAGTGGCAGCCCCTGACCTGCACAGACAGCGAGCCCACAATGACCTTCTCGTCCATGCTGGGAGTCCTGCCATCCAGCTCGCTGCTGCAGGCCTGAGGAATCATGTGGTCCAGGTCCCCATTCTGCAGCTTCTCCATCACGCCCTCCTCCTGGTCCTTCTTGGAAGGAAGCGTCTCCGAGGCAAAGTGGTTATGTCCATGATGGTGCTGGAAGGATGACAGGGAGGCGTCAGTACAACACCCACCGAAACCACTAGCCCAGTGGAACACCTGATGGAATGAGAGCTCCAGGCTCAGGGAGGCCTCATTCCTGCACAAAAGAAAACCAGAGCAGGCCACCCAGAAACGTGGGCAAGGTGCATGCACAGCAGCGCCGAGCATGCAGGAAAGGACTGGGTGTTAGGAACCAAAGCTGTCCCCGAGGACACTCTCATGGAAGCAAGGTGGCCCTGCTGAGTACAGAGAGCTCTTCCTGTGCAATGGTCACTTGCATCCAACTCAGCAGCTGTGCAGGGAACAACATCGTGCCCAGCCCTGAGGCCATTTCTCTGGAACCACACTAAGGCAGGTCAGTCCCAGTCTCTGCTGCCTTACCTCATACTCAATGATGCCTGCTAACAAGCCCTTGCCTACCATCAGAAGATACAAGTGCACACACAGGAGATGTTGGAACAAAGCAAAGGGGACAGGTGCAGCTACTGGTTAAGGGCTCATCAGCGGAGATAGGTTCCAGCCCCAGCCAACATCCTCACCAGATGAAATGGGACGACCTCCTCGTGACATCTGTGGTTTCTACTATGTGACAGGAAGCTGTGTCCCGTCAGCTCTATCGGTGACACAACATTGAGAGGAAACACACTGATACTTTTTGAGACAGGTGTTTAACTACTTAATTCTTTACTAACAATGAGGTCTCACCTCGTTTTTCTGCTTAAGAAGCATCTTCAAGATCTTCTCTGTAAAAAAGAAAAGGTAGAATCCCCCAAACACCACTGCAGACTTGGAGACATAATAATCTTCCAGAGGGTTGAAACCAAAAGCCTGTGGACCCAGGAAAATAAAATCAGTTGAAGAAAAACCTTCACTGGTTCCCTCACATGTCTCAACTACTTCCTTGACTCCAGGAAAGTGATGTCCTGGAATAACTCTGCTGCCTGCCCAAACTCTCGCCAGCACAATCTAATCCTGATGCTCCCGGATGTGACGTCACTGCTCCTGCCAGGTTCCCTCTTGCTTCTCTTCTGATGCAAAAGACACACCATATTTAGGACTTGAAACTTAGAAGAACAGCTGTGGATACGGCTCTCTGCTTTTAATGAGGACTCCATCTTAATTTGATTTTTCTCAGTGCTAAGCTACAAAAGCACCCTGAGGGTGAATTCCACACTTAAGGAGAGGACTTTTTATTTTCATCTCATCTAGCAGCCCTGGCTTTTCTGCCTGTAAACACAATGGGAAGCAGTGCAATTATGCTTTCTAAAAAGGGAGCTCCATCCTTCAGTTAAACAGTAAGAACTGCAGCATCTCCCTGGCCACGGACCTTACAGGGACCTCAAGGCTGAGAAAGCAGGCTATGTCCCTGTGTGCGTCAATCCTTGGTGGCTCTGGAAGCAGGCACGGCAATGTCCATCTGTAACCCCAGCTACTTGGGAGATTGATGCAGGAGAACTGCCTGAGGCCACCTTGGATAACACAGCAAGACCCCGTGTCTTTAAAAATAAAAACGCTGGAGGAGGGTGTTGAAAGCTTCTCTTATTAAGGAAGGGGGGAAAATCCACTGTGAAGGACTGGAAACCAGAAATCTATTCTAGGTTCAGCTCCTGATTTATGGAAACAGGCTTTGCAAAAACTCCAGCCCTCCAGGAACAGGTCACCAGTAGAAGATGAATCTAACCCAGGGGAACTCTGGGCTGCTTAAAAGGTGAGTGCTCATCCTTTTAAAGGTTTAAAAAGGACCAAATTCAATCATGACCCTTTCTAAGAGGCCTACACGGTGGCCAGATTCAACACTCTCAGGTCAGCTCAGGTCAACTCTTCAGGAAAGCTGGCTCTTCTTAGGGAGAAGTGATTTGCAAAGAGACAACTAACACCCCTGCACACAGGCCTGCAAGGATGGCAGCACCTGGTTATTTGGCTTGGGTGGGGGCATAGGACATGGAACCCAGGCCTCAGGAGCAGCTCCCTTTCTGCAGGTCAGAATCGAGTGAGCAAAAAAAAAAAGTACTTAGTGGTGTTGATCCCACAAGAATACAAAATAGCATTGTGGAAAACACCTAGCGCTCTGAGAAGCACATGGAGCCATCTTTCTGCTTTGCCCGGGCCTGCCAGGCCACCTAAAGTGCTCTGTCTGATGCTCATTATAATTAATGGGTCTACCCACAAAATTGCACCCAATCAGACAAAGCGCCTCCGGGGCTGATGGTCAAACTTTACAGACACTCCGCTCCCTCTGTTTGGTGGAAAATATTCTCAAGAACCTGGGCAAGGGGCAAGGGTGCGGTTGATGTATGCGAGCCCAGACTGTTCTGTTCAGATTGCCTTGGCCCCCCAATCCATACTGGGACCCATGGATTCTGGCGGTATTTATATTTGTCTGCAGCAAAAGCCCCACTCTGAGAGCCAGAAAGTGACCTCGCTACCCTATTCTTTTCACTCAGCACCTATAGCACTTTCCAGACAGCAGGCATTTTACAAACATTAACTCATTTTGTTGTCTTGAGGTTGATCCTACTGTCTCCCTCATTTCACACGGGGGAATAGAAGCAGCAAGGCGAGGGGGCTTGCCCCAAGCTGCAGAACCTGGAGATAAGGAGCGAGGATTTGAACCTGGCTCTCAAACCTATGCTGTGTGGCCCTGCCTAGCTCATGCCTGAGTCCTGGCTTCACTTTTTCAAGGACAGACCCTGAATGCTCCTCCCTGTGCCCGCCGTGTGAATAGAGGGTCCTCCCACTGGCCACTGGCCCCGGCAGACAGGCTGCTCTGGGGGTGAGCTTTCTGGCTTGCCATACCTCGGGGATGAGCTGGAAGAGGGCGTTGGAGTAGAGGGTTCCAATCGCCAGAGCTATGAAGTAGAGCAGCAGCCTCTTGTAAAAGGTCTTCTTCATGAAGGGCACCACGCTGGCCCCCATGAGGGAGCAGAGGGAGATGACGGTGACACAAAGGAGACCGTATCCCCACACTGCCAGCCCACCCAGGACAAGGAGGGGGCAACCACCATTTAGGGGAGGAAGATGGAGAGGAGAGGAGAGGGGGGAGGCAAGAGGCAAAGTACAAGTAGGGAGGGAGAGAGAAATAGAAAATTTATTAGTGATTCAAATGCGATGAAATTTCCTTCAATCAGCACAGAAGAAATAAGGAGGCATTTGGGGTGGCCTTGGAACCCTGTGACTACTGCCCCTGTTGCCTTTAGTGGCCTGAGTTACACCTGCCAGCTGGTGTGACCGGCAGGTAGGATGGGCTGCCCTTGTCACACATCTGAGATATGCCCAGGCCCATTACAAACTCTGGGCCCAAGGGTTCTTTTTAATAGGACACAAAAGCAAATGGAAAGAGATTGTTCATTATGCTGCCCGGTTTGCTTGTGCATCCAATCTGTGTCACAGAAGCACAGATGACATGACCTGCAGGTGGTGTGTGCAAGACAACAAAGCCAGATGTGCAGAGAACAAGACCCGAGGACCAGAGGGTCATTTCTGAACTTCAGTTATTTTTGTTTGCTTCCATTTGCTTTTTGAGAGGGGCTCAAGCATAGAGAAGAGAGTTCCAAGATCACCTCATCACAAAACAACATGTCCATGGCATTTCCTCATGGGACCCACTCTGGGCGGAGAGTCCAGGCCCAAAGGGCAGGACAGGCCCAGGCCAAGGTGAGACATGGGGACTTCCATTCCAACAAGCAATGAGACATATCATTTCAGTCTTTAAAAAATTGCAAATTCAATTTCTGGAGCTGAAAAAATAGCCCAAGATGAGGCCTCCCCTGGGAAGTGCTTGCTATCCATGTGGAATTTTGAGATGGCAGCAACGTGGTTACCCTTAAATCACTGCTTCTCTCATTATGAAGGAGGGCTAGGCCAGGCGAGGAATGAAAGCCCACGTGGCATCTTTTCTGGGTCCATCTTTCAGTTGCGAAGAGAGGGGAAGCTGCTGACGTGGGCTCTTTATGTAAGGCAGCTCCATCACTCCTGGTTGGCCAGGTGTCCACACGTTACCTGCACCCCTGCCCCCCATAGCAGCATTCCTGCCCAAGAGGAAATTGTAGACAGGCTGTCAACTTGGGCCTTATTTTTATAGCTCCACAGCCATGACAATTAAAAACAAAATTACCAGACATTTTATAACAGTCAAGGAAGGGTCCCAGGAAGTCAGTTCTCTCAGAAGAAGGTCAAGATGCAAGGTACCAAGGATTCCTGCCCCTTTTATTTCTTTTTCTGTTTTCCAACACTGGGGGTTGAACTCAGGGCCTTCACACTGAGATACACCCCCAGCCTTTTTTTATCTTGAGATCGGGTCTCACTAAGTCACTAAGTTGCCCAGGCTGGGCTGGAACTTGTGATCCTCCTGCCTCAGATTCTCAGAGTGCTGAGATTACACCTATGCACCACCACAGCCAGTTTGTTTTGTATTTTCAACTTTGTTTGTTCTTGTCAAATGGTCTTTGTTCTAGTTCTGCTCTGAAAGCCACAAAAGATGGCTTGCTTAAAAGTAAGGATCACCTTATTTTTAGGCCATTCTATGCATCTAGTTTCCTCCCACTGCATTCAAGATGGATAATCCACTGGCATCCACAGACAGACACCAGGGTTTCCCTCAAAACAGAGGGCATGCTACGTGCCCATCAGCGGCACTGTCCCTTGGGAGCCCTAGGAGTGACTGAGAGACCCCCAGCTGGAGACAAATGCTAAGACCCTTGCATCCACATCATCTGAAGAGGTCAGAGCAACCCGAGTGGCCGAGGAGAGAGAGAAAGGCCCCTGAAATCCCAAGGGAGAAGTCATCAGTGCCCTTTGATATGAGAGTCGGTTTGTGTTTCAGTTGGCAGTCGCCAGGTGCCTTAGTGCACAGGGGAGGGGACCTCAGCCAGGGGGCTCGGCGCACATCTGTCTACTGCACCTCTGGGATGAGCTGGAAGAGCGCGTTAGAGAGCAGCGTTCCAATTGACAGGGCGATGAAGTAAGCGAGCACCCGGCGGAAAAATGCTCGTTCTGTGCACGGCACGACGAGGACTCCCAGGAGAGAGGCCAGGTTAATCAGCGAGACACTGAGGAAACCAAAGCCCCACACTGTGGAGGAACAAGAACAGAAGGGGCCTCCATTACTAAGGGCTGGGCCACTCTGAACACAGGGTGACCAGGGTGACCAGGTGAGCAGAGACCCACCAGCCCTGTGGGGCCGCCTTTAGCATGGAGCTTCGGAGGAGCCTCAGAAAAAGCTGTCGGGTCACTTACCTTTCAGATGGGGACTGAAGGATCACATGAAAGATTGAATACATGTTAAAACATGACAGTGGGGACAGTATGAGACATAACACAGCACAACGTGCCAGATCAGGTAGCATGTGCTGGTGCTAGGAACATCAGGACAGTCGGGTCTACAGAGTCGTGTGGTGTTGCTCAGAGACAGGTGAGCACACTGGCTGGAGCAAGTGGACCAAGTGAGGTCTTAAAGGATAGAACTGGCTGTGGTGGCACATGCCTATAATCCCAGAAATTTATGAGCCTGAGCCAGGAAGATCACCACAAATTCAAGGCAAGTCTGGGCTACATAGAGAGTTCAAGACAAGCCTGAAATACACAGTGAGAGACCTTGTCTCAAAAAAAAGTTGGGCCCCTCATGGTTTAACAAAACCAAAATAAAAAGTAGGCAGCCAGGTGTGGTGGTGCATGTCTATAATCCCAGCACTCTGGGAGGCTGTTGCAGGAGGATCACAAGTCAAAGTCCAGACTAGACTAGCAACTCAGAGACAGTGACTCAAAAAAAAAGCTTAGGGGCTGGGGATATTACTCAGTACAAAGGTCCGGGGTTCAATTCCTAGTCCCCCTCAAACAAAAACAAGAACAAAAAACCAAAGTCCAACCCTCTGAGCACTCACCAGCCATGCTCACCAGGCTCTAGCAATGTGGCAAAGCAGTTGTGTGAACACAATGTAACAACCAGTGCCTGTTACTCGGTGACCCCGGCTCTTCTCTTCGCTCACCTTCGATGGCACTTGGCTTCCCCTCCTCTGTCTGCTCATTCTCCTCATTCTCTTGGTTCTCAGCCAAGCAGGCCCGGGAATCCAGCTGCTGCAGGATGGTGGGGCAGAACTCCTGGAACTCATTCCTCCCAACCCTCGACTGGTTGCTGAAATTGTGGGCAGCGAAGAGGTCTCGAGAACTAAAGCACTGGAACAAGATGGGCGAGAGAGCCATGACACTGCAAAGCCCATGGTTCCCCCTGCTATTTGTCCTTTACAGAGATAAAGAAGATGGAAATGGCAAAGCTCAAGAGATCTAGAGACTCATCCCTAAGGAAGCGCCTAAACTTGAAAACCTGGCCAGTGATCTCAGCAGTCAGCCACCCTGGGAGGTTACAAATGCATCTGTAAGTGGTTACTGGGAGAAGTTTTAGGAACAACCAGATTCCAATCATGGTGACCAGGGTGTGGTTTCAGGAAAATGAGCTCTATTTGCATAGCTGAAGATACAAGCTTCATCTAGATACCAAATCTGGGTGCCCATCTCAATTGCCAGGGAGCTGCTATGTGAAAATGCAGATTCCAGAGTCTCCTTGGGCGCTGGCATTTGTAGGGGTAGGGCTACCCTTAACCACTAGGCTGAAGATGTGTTGACAGAGGTAGGGAAAGGAAAATCTGAAGATTCAGTGCCAGCCACTGGGCAAGTCCCAGCTGGCCAGCGGATGCGAGCACCCAGCCACTTTGGGAGGTATTTATTTCACTGGCAAGCGGCTCTCACATACCGTTCCTAGGAAATGCTGAAGTTTTACTAATTATACTTTATCCCCATATACTCTGAGCTAGTTGGGCTTATCTCTGAGAATCAGCCCTGAGTGTGCTGACAAGTGAAATTTCTGGGCCAACAAATCGAGGGCTGGAGACCAGAGATCCCAGGACCCTGCTGCTGCCCCGGCAGGCCCAGAGACCCACGTGGCTGCTGGTGTTCTGCACCCTTTTGACTGACTCAGGCATCTTTCACACCCAGCTGGCTCTGCCTCTATGCCACATGGTCTCTTTGCCTACTTTCTTGTCCCAAACTATTCATCCTTCAAGAAATTCAGTTCTGGGACAGCCTGGGGGTGAGCCTGAATCTCAGTTACTGTCCAGCCACAGAACATAATGCTTCATTTTTATTCCAGCTACCTCTGAGCTCCCTGTCTCGACAGTAACCTCCTTAAATATGGCTTATGTTTCTGTTTCCCATAGCACTCAGTTCATGGAGCAAAGCAAATATATGAGGATCCTGCTGGCTGGCTTATCTTTGGCTGCCACAAATAGCCTCAGACTTGGACCAACCAAGACAACATGGAAGAAGAAATACAGAACCAATTGCCAAAGACCTGGAGGAGTTCTCTGGTGCTAGTCCTGCTCCCTCCGGGAACTCCCAGAAGATGCTCAGAGTTTTCTCTTGGAAGAGAAGAGAATCCCTCTTGCACCTGGCATGTCACACATGCGTGGGGCTTCGGGGAACGGAAATGCTATGGTGGGAGCCATGGCATAGCACCAGTTCCCAGTGATCCAGGTGCACCCCCAAAAGATGGGGGGGCTGAGAATACCACTTCCTGGTGGCCCTTTGGGAGGGCTTTAAAGCCCCATACAGGTCAGGTGCGGCTAAAGACACCGGCTATGCTGATCTCTGAAGTGGGTGATAAGAACTCACCTGCTTGCTGTCACCTGCCCGCCCCCCACCATCCTACCAAGCTGCTCACCCACCCTCAGCCCTAGACCCCTGAGAGACCACTGGCCCAGAGGGAGCCTTACCGTGGAGAGATTTCTGTGTTCCTGTGCATGCTGGGTGATGTTATCGCGGCCCACTCCCACATCCAGGTGGTTGAGCAGGGCCTTCAGCTGTGGCAGGGTGAGACTGTCACCCTCACCATAACGCTGCATGAGGTTGTCCAGGAAAGAGGCAGCACTGACAGGTGCCCGGCCCACAGACCTTGCTAGCACCTGGGGAGCAGCAGTGCAGGTGAGCAAGGCCAGCAGGAGGTAGCCGGGGAAGGCCGGGCGCAGCAGCCTCATGGTGACCAGGTTCACCTGCAGGACCACAAGTCTAGGTGAAGGAGCTGCCTTGTCCACTCCCAATCCCCATGCCAAGCATGAGGGGTGTACCTTGACATCTTGAATCTGATTGGCACCAAGATATGACTTCAGCCCTTCTCTGTTCCTTCTGCTGAGCCTCGAGAAACCTTTCTCAAGGGGATAGAATGAGCCGGGTGGAGTGTCACACACCTGTAATCCCAGCACTGTGGGAGGCTGAGGTAGGAGGATTGCAAGTTTGAGCCCAGCCTGGGCAACTTAGTGACTTAGTAAAATTCTGCCTCAAAATAAAAAATATAAAAGGGCTGGGGATATAGCTCAGTGCCAAGACCCTGGGTTCAATTCCCAGCACCATTCAAAGAAAGCGGGGAGGGTTGGAGAAAAATTAAGAAAAAGGACAAACTCAAAAGGTTTGATTAAATTTAGAAGAACAAAATAGGGGTCAGGAGTCTGGCTTAATGGTACAGAGCGTCTGACACACGAGACCCTGGGTTCCATCCCTAGCACTGAATAAATAGTGTGGTTATGATTCTATAAAGGTTATGATTCTGTAAAGTATCTTTTAGATACTGAAATAACCATAGATTAAGCATAATCTCATTTGGATTTGGTCCAAAATAATAAAGGAAGAGGAGTGTATATGAAGGTACAGAAAGGACAAGACTGAGCAGGAGGAAGCAATTGTTGAAATAAGTGACAGGGAGATGGGAACTCATTAAGATTCTTCTGTCTATTGCTGTGCATGTTTGAAATTTTCCAAAATAAATAAAAGGTTCTTAAAACAATAAATACTATAACTAAAAGAAGAGATATAGGATTCACCCTAATCAAAAAAATTAAAAAATAAAAAGGCCTGCCAGGTGTGGTGGTACATGCCTGTAATCTCTGGATTTGGGAGGCCGAGGCAGGAGGATTGCTGCAAATTCAAGACCAGTCTGGGTTACATAGTGAGACCCTCTCAAAAAAACGGGGAAGGGCTGGGAATTTAGCTCAGTGGTTCTGCTGCCTGCCTTGCAGGCGGAAGGACCCAAGTTCAATCCCCAGTGCCACCCCCCCCCAAAAAAACAAAAACCAGGAAAAAAAATTAAAAGGCATACCCAGGATGATGTGCAATGGTTAAGTGTCCATTTCACAGAATATTATATAGACAGAAAAAAATTAGTCATACATAGGATATTAAATTAAAAAGTAGATTTATGCAGCAGTGGTAAAAATTGAAAAGGAACGTGAGAAACAAGAGCATAGAGCAGCAGAGCTGTGGCTGATCTTTTTGTTAAATCATTCGTCTCTCTTAGTGAGGCTGTAATGTAATTTTAGTGACATAAAAAAATATACGGAGGGAACATGCGCCTCTCACCCCAGAAGGAAGAACTCAGCCCTGGCAGTGGGTCCCTCCCAGGCCCCAGGGCTCAGTCCCTGCCTTCATCCTGCCTCTAGGTCTTTGCTTGGGACCAGAACAGGATCTATGAAGCTAGGAATTGAACTCTGGCCCTGCCTGTTCCGGGCAGTGTCACCTTAGGAAACTTATTTAGCTACAGACAACACAGAATGACCCAGGGCAGCCGTGCAGCTTACCACAGCCACCAGTGCGGACAGACAGGGCTTGAATCTCCATATCCACACAGCAAACTACTCAGCCTCCCTCTACCTCAGTTTTCTCAGCTATAAAGCTGGTGCCCAAGGGGCCAGGGATTTAGCTCAGTGGTTTCGCCACCTGCTGAGCAAGTGCAAGGACCCAAGTTTGATCCCCAGTACCAAAAAAAAAACAACAAAAACTGGTGCCCACCCCATGGAGTTACTGTGAGGACTTACGGCACACACTATGGATGAGGGGTGCTGAACTAAAGGGCTCAAAATCTGGCTAGGATTCTAATTAGCAAGATTTCCAACTTCAGTCAATCTGCCCAACTTCCCAAATTTTGACTCAGCTCCAATATTAAGTTGCTAACAGAAGTGTTAGGCCGTCGCCTGCCTCGCAAGCGCAAGGACCCGAGTTCGATCCCCGCTACCAAAAACAAAACAAACAAACCAAAAGAAGTGTTAGGAATCCCCTGTGGCTAATTTTACATCAACTAAAATGATCACACATATCATCACCTGTCCACACACATCATTGCCTAAGTCCACTACCACTGTATAGTCGGGGACATTCAGGCTTTAGCCTCTACACAGTGGCATGCACAGAACTGGGGACATAAAATGTCACTCTTTGGTGGAATATACCCCGAGTCAAACAAGTAGATGGATGGATTAGGCATCAGCAGAAATGATGGTATAGAAAAATGTTACTTTGAGACTCACAACTCTCAGATCTCTACTTAGAGATGGTCAATGATGGTGAAGGGGCTGGATATTAGCCAAACATTAAAATCCACAGTTCAGAAAGCACATTAATCCACCCAAGCAGCTGCCACCTGGCAGGTGCATTCAGTGCTGTCAAAGTGAGGAGAGGAAGTCGGTCTGGGCTCAGCAAAGGAGAGGCGAGGACACGATGGACAGCGCCTGGCGCTTACCATGGGCAGACCCTGCTAAGCACTTAGAACTCACTGTTTCCTTTAAAAGAAGTCAGGAAACAACCTCACCTAACAGATAAGGAAGCCAGGGTTCAGAGATTAGGAAAGGGGCCCACAGCCCATCATGCCAGAAATAGAATCTCTCATGAAGTGAAGCCAGGGGTAGATGACATTAAAGTGTCATCCGAGGCGTTCAGATGTAAAACACAGGTCCTGGATGTCACGGGCAGCCACAAGATCTGCAAGCCTCTAAGCAGATCTGACAATTTCTATCCACACACAGATCCCGAAGAGCTAGCGGACCGCCCCCAGGATGCCTTCGAGGCCAGACTGAATTCCAGGTGCCTGCTGGAGGATCACAGAACAGGGAAAATGATTGCGCCCACTTCCAATCTACTCCTCAAATTTATTGCAGCAACTTCAAAACACTCCGGAAAAAAAAAAAAAAAAAACTCTTCAAGTGTGGGCAATGTGGAGGAGCATTCGTGCAGAGGTAAGCGCTAATCAAGAACTGCTGTCTGCTGGCCCAGGGGCCCTTGAGCAGCTGCTAGGACAGCCTGAAGCCCTAGGGAAGAGCCACTTCTGGCTGTGTGATGAGAAAGATGAGTGAGACCGGGTATGGTGGTGCCTACCTGTAATCCCAGCACTCTGGGAGGCTGAGGCAGGAGGGCTGTAAGTTCCAGCCCAACGTGGGGCAACTTAGCAACTAAGTGAGACCTTGTCTCACAATAAAAATTTAAAAAGGGCTGGGGATGTTGCTCAGTGTGAAGGCCCTGGTTCAATTGCCAGTATCACAAAAAAGAAAAGAAATGAAGGAAGGGGAAAGGGTAAGAAGAGAAGAGGAGAGAGAGAGAGAGACAGAGAGAGATGGGGGAGGGAGAGAGAGAGCAAGCCACAGAGCCACCTTTACTTCTCCCAGGTGACCTGTTTTCTCTCTCTCCCTGCCAGCAAGGCTGTTCTTGTCTCAACAAAATATGCTGCTTTGGTGGCAGCCACAACACAGCGTCAGAGACGCTGTCCACATGCTCAGGGGAAGCTCTGGGGAGCCCGAACCCTAGGAAAGCGCAGTCTGGGGCCCTGAGGACACTTCAAAGCCAAGTGACCCAGGCCTTTTGGCAGACATGGGAGTTTTCTGCTCCAGTGGGGATTTTTTTCCTTTCTTAACCGTAAGTTATTCTTAGGAAAAAAAAAAAAAAAGGTTTATAAAGAATTCTTTGGCAGAAAGAAGAGAGGAAGAAAATAAGACTGTTGTAGCCATGGCTGGGAAGGTGAGGCGGGGTAGAGGTCCTGGCTGGCAGCCCCCACCGGGCCACTCCAGTCCTCAGGGAGCTATGCCCTCAAGTCCAGACCTGCCAGGAGTGCCAGGGACAGAGGGCGACAGGGCAGAAGAGGGACGATGGCAAAGGCCCAGACCACTGACCCTTTCCGAAGCAGAGAAGCGGAGTCTCACTGCTTGTTCCCTTGGGTCAGGGTCCCAGGAGGAAATGATTTTGGCGCCTCAGGTTGGTCTCTAAGCGCCAGGCCAGGCCTAACTCTGAGCAGGAGCGTGAAAGATACAGGAAGTCAGCAAGCCAAGATGCTTGTGCCAGAACCTTCTGTGGGGCTATAGAAGCTTCCTTGCCATCCTAGGGGCCCCTAAATTAGAATCCCACCTGCTTTTGCTGCTTCACTGGGTCCAGAAGCATTTTGTGCACAAGCAGCAATTCTGTTCTGTGGGCAGATGCATTTTACCATTGTGTTTACCACACTTCGTTTTTTTCTAACCCCATGTCCTCTCGTTGTCCCTCCTTACACTCTGGCTTCCGGTCTGGCCAGCGCTTTCTCCCCTTTCTGTGTTACTGCTAGGACACCTTCACCATGGGGTTCTCACCAGAGTCCCTAACACCTTCACAACTGTGAGCTAAATAAACCTCTTTTCTTTATGAAATACTCAGCCTCATGCCTTTCCTGCTAGTAACAATAGAAGAATGGACCAATGTAGAACTATACCTAGAGTTTCATGAGTATTATAAGACAAAATATGTTGAAACATCATATAGATTTAAGATGGAGAATTGAAATGGCAGAATTTTCCTTCTCCTGATAATAAACAAAACGAATTAAGGAAAAAAAAAAAAGGTAAGAAGCAAATAAATTCACCAACAGCCAACAAGTAGGGAAACAGGCATAAACAGACATTATTAACTTCAAGACCAGAGGGAAAGAAAGCAACAAAGGCAGCACCACATGCCATTCAACTCCAACCCCCGGCCCAACCCTGACAACCCAAAGAAATGAGAACAAAACTAGAATTCTCATTGAGGTCCCCAAATCTGCCAAAAGGCAAACTGCTGCCCATTCTTTGTTCTCTTCAACTGAGAAGGGTGGAAAAAGCTACTGGAGCTGTGGGAGGCAAAACTGGAGCAAGAACAAAGATTTTAGCTAGGCGTGGTGGCACATGCCTGTAATCCCAGCACTGGGGAGGCAGAGGCAAGAGATCATCAG